TTGAAGTCCACGAGTCATGAGGGGGCCATAGTTCCCTCATGCTGGCTCAGGAATTCTGGGAATTGAAGTCTGCGAGTCATGAAGGGGCCATAGTTCCCCCATGCTGGCTCAGGAATTCTGGGAGTTGAAGTCCACCAGTCATAAAAGAGCCGAGGTTGCCTCCCCCTCCCCCTAGAACTACAGGGGGTGTCCAACTGCCACTAACTTGGGGGTTGAGGAACCCAAGGCATCCACCTCCACGATTCCACCTGGCAGTTCTCTGCCTGGGTCTGGGGGGGCATGGAGACCAAGCCCAGCCTGGCTGCCCACCTTGTTGATCCAGGGCCCCAAGTTGGGGGAGCATTCGTAGAGACAGGTGTCCTGGATGAAGTGCTTCTTGCATCTATCCGACATGGTCCCGCAGTGGTTCCAGTCGAAATTGTACAGGTAGGAGGTCTCATCGTGGGCCCCTTGAGTTGTGTTGAGTGTGCAGCAGGCGTTGTCCTTCCAGGGAGAGCACTGGGGGAAGAGAAGCAAAGAGAGAGGCTGGATTGAGCCCAGACGGGTCTGATGTCCACTTTGGGGTGGGGCATCTTCTCCGAGAAGTTCTCCGGTTCCCACTACGAACCAGCAGCGTTCCCAGTCCACCCAGGTGTCCCCCTGAAAGTTGAGTTGACTCAGGAAGGTGGGACAGGTGGACATCCACAACGGGGCTCTACTGCTCTATACAACAAGGACTGCAGGAATGTCCTTCAAGGCTGGTGGGAGCCTACATTTAGGCAAGAAAAACCAAGTGTACAGGTTTACTATAAGGGGTACCTTGCTCAATAGTAGTAACTGTGAGAGGGATCTCGGAGTCCTAGTTAAGGTGACCAACTTTTTTTTACAATGAGAAGGAGGACACAAATAAATTGAAGGAAAAAAAAGTGAGTCTAATTCGTGCGTGTGTGCCGTGCCGTGTTTCGGTAAGAAGTACACAAAACCCCTTGCGCGCGGCGCACTCTCTCCAAACAATGCTCCTGCGCGGAGCGCATGCGTCTCATAATCGCGCCTCGCCGCACAGTACCGGGCCTTGACGAATCGTCATGTCAAATACAAATACGTCACATCACGCAACGGATTGGATCGGCCTCGATCGAATACGGAGATTTACAGCTTCGTCTTCAAATATCGAAAAGGAGGACATGTAGGAGGACACTTTTTGAGAGAGGACAAAACTTACAAAAGGAGGACTGTCCTACCTAAAGGAGGATGGTTGGTCACCTTATGTGGACCATCCCTTAAATAGGAGCCAGCCGTGTGCTGCAGCTGCCATAAAAGCCAACACAGTGCTAGGCTACATTGAAAGAGGGAGAGAATCAAGATCAGGTGAAAGGTTAATACCACTTTACAAGGCCTTGGTAAGGCCACCCTTGGAGTACGGCATCCAGTTTTGGTCACCACGATGTAAAAAAGATGTTGAGACTCTAGAAAGAGTGCAGAGAAGAGCAACAAAGATGATTAGGGGACTGGAGGCTAAAACATACATAGAACTGTTGCTTCTGAATTGGGTCTGTCTAGTTTAATGAAGAGAAGGACGAGGGGTGACATGATAGCAGTCTTCCAGTATCTATGGGGCTGCCCCAATGAAGAGGGAGTCAAGCTATTCTCCAAAGCGCCTGAAGGCAGGACAAGAAGCAATGGATGGAAACTAACCAAGGAGAGAAGCAACCTGGAACTAAGGACTCCTCAGTTTGACCCCCCAGTAACCATTCTAATAGATGGGGTGGGATTCCAGGCGAAAGCAATCCAGAGTCTTCAAGGCCCTTCCCAGCCTCGCTTCTGAGGACCCTCGGAAAGCCAACTGTGATCAGGTCTCCCCGGTGCCCCTTCGGCCCCGGGTTCGCTACCTGTTTATGCAGTTTATCCTCCGGTCCAGGCTTGGTTTTCTGGTGCTTGGCATCCATGCACACGTTCAGCATAGATTCCTGGGCAACTGCCATCGCCAGGACCAACAGCAGCACCTGCCCCATGGCCAGCATCATCACCCTGCGGGCACAGAGAGAGAGAGAGTTAGTGAGAGTGAGAGTGAAAGTGAGAGAGAGGAGAGACAGAGAGAGAGAGACAGAGAGAGAGAGAGAAAGAGAGAGAGAGAGAGTTAGTGAGAGAGAGAGAGAGAGAGAGAGAGAGAGAGAGAGAGAGAGAGTTATAGAAGAGGGGACCCTGTCAGGGGTGGGAGGATTCCCTGACCCACTCCAGGAATACGGCATCCAGTTTTGGTCCCCACAATATAAAAAAAGATGTTGGAGACTCTGGAAAGAGTGCAGAGAAGAGCAACAAAGATGATCAGGGGGCTGGAGGCTAAAACATACGAAGGATAGTTGCAGGAACTGGGCATGTCTGGTTTAATGGAGAAGGACGAGGGGGTGACTTGATAGCAGCCTTCCAGTATTTGAGGGGGTCAAGCTATTTTCCAAAACACCAGAAGGCAGGAGAAGAAGCAACGGATGGAAACTAACTAAGGTGAGAAGCAACTTGGCATTAAGGAGAAACTTCCTGACCGTGAGGACAATTAACCAGTAGAACAGCTTTCCCTTCAGAAGTTGTGGGTGCTCCATCACTGGAGGTTTCCAAGAACAGACTGGACATCCATTCGTCCGAAATGGGATAGGGTCTTCTCACATGAGCAAGGGGTTGGACTAGAAGACCTCCAAGGTCCCTTTCAATCCTGTTATTCTCTATTCCATTCTTCCACTCCAGAGATGCAGTCAGAAACCCACATCCTTGGCCACGTTCAGAAGAGACGGCAGCAAGGCAAAGCTCCTACTGCATCTCCTGCCCCCTAGGTTTCCCCCCCCCCCACTCCACAGTGCAGGCCTCAGCAAACAAAACTGGCCCTTTAAAGGCCAGCCCAAGCACAGAAGGAGGGCAGGCAAGAAGAAACTGGGCTCTGGGGGTCTTCTCCCTTTTGTTGAGCTTAAGTCAAATTATCTGGAATGGGTTGGGGTCTCCTGCTTGAGCAGGGAGTTAGACTAGATCAGTGGTTCTCAACCTTTTTAATGCCGCGACCCCAACCGGTCGTAAGTCGAGGACTAAACCGGTCGTAAGTCGAGGACTAAACCGGTCATAAGTCGAGGACTACCCAATCGGTCGTAAGTCAAGGACTTTCCCTGCCCGGGAGTGCCGTGCATGCGTGGTTCCGCCCCCTGCGCCAGCCGAGGCGTAGCTGGCAAGCGGCAGAGACGGAGCAGGCCGACCACCAGCTGGCCCAGCCCAAGGGAGGTAAGGCACCCGCCGGAAAAGGGGGAAAAAATGGCGGACAGCCTTGCTTGGCGACCCCCGTGAAATGGTCGATCGACCCCAAATGGGGTGCCGACCCACAGGTTGAGAACCACTGGACTAGATGACCTCCAAGGTCCCTTCCAGCTTTGTTATTCTGTTTGGTCTCAACCCCAAACGTCTAAAGATAGCAGAAACCCTAATCCTTTGAAGTTCTTTGAAATTATAGATTTGGGGGGGAAGCATATGGAAGAGGATTTTATAATAATAATAATAATGATGATGATGATGATGATAATAATAATAATAATAATAATAATAATAATAATAATGAAGTTGGAAGGGACCTTGGAGGTCATCTAGTCCAACCCCCCGCTCAGGCAGGAAACCCTATACCATTTCGGACAAATGGCTGTCCAGTCTCCTCTTAAAAACCTCCAGTGATGGGGAAGGAAGGAAGGAAGGCAGGCAGAATAGCAGAATAACAGAGTTGGAAGGGACCTTGGAGGTCATCTAGTCCAACCCCCTGCTTGAGCAGGGAGTTAGACTTGATGATCTCCACGGTCCCTTCCAGCTCTGTTATTCTGTTTGGTCTCGACCCCAAACGTCTAAAGATAGCAGAAATCCTAATCCTTTGAAGTTCTTTGAAATTATAGATTTGGGGGGGGGGGGAGCATATGGAAGAGGATTTTGCAATGTCTCTACAGGACCAACCTCCTTCCCCAGTTTGGTTGGGGTTGGGGGTCTTTGCGCCCCTCCCTCCCCCAAGTTATTGACTGCACCCATCCTCTCTTCATTTGGAGTGCAACAGCTGTCAACGCTGCTAACATGGGCTGTTCTTGCTTTGAGAACAGATG